AAAAAAAAACAAAAGAACATCCTCCTGAACGTGTTTCTTGTCATTCCTCCTATTCAAAAGTATTTTTTAAAAAGTCCCAAGAGAAAAATTTTTCCCCCCTTCTCACCCTGAATTCGAGTTAACCGTGAGAAATTCCTTATTAGGAGTGAAAATTTCATTCGAGATATCCGGAAATTCGAGATAAGCGAATTCGAGTTAAACGGAGCATTTAACATGGTGTCCTACGGGGTTCCGCCGGGACCAAGCTTTGAACTTCGAGATAAGCAGAATTTCGACTTATCAGGATTCGAGTTAACGAGTTTTCACTGTACTTTTTTGTATATTTTAATTTTTGGCTAAGTTTTCCTTGTCGGAATATGATGCAAAACCCAGGCCTAGTCCCACCTCTAGCGAGATATGATAAAAGAATGGATAACTAAGAAAATGACTATAGTGATGGACTCCTGCATGTGCAATTTAAAGTGATGCTATGTGATCAATCATGGCTTTCTACTCATAATATCCATTGGAAAATAGCTCCATCTCAAGGAGTACTGTATTACCCCTATTCTGTCCATTGGCCTTTGGATGTAAAGATAACAAGGATTTTTGAAAAGTGAAGTAATAAAATGTTGATTTGGCTTTGTGAACATCAAAGACAAGATCAAAGACCACACCCAGCACCAGTTGTATGTGATTAGGACTCTCAGAGCATGGCTGGGTTTATTGTTGAGCATGCTGCATGTATTTTCCTTAAAATATGGGAAAAAGCCAGCAAAAAGTCTTAAATATAAAGAAAACCTATATTTTAAGTTTTTTTTAATATCTTTTTCTCCATGTACATGAGGTACATTAGTTTACAAATGGGTGGCAGTTTACTTTGTTTCATTAGGAATGTTAAGCAAGTTTTTGGTTCCTGTATAAAATAAAGACTCACTGATAAATTTGTAGGTTATGTTCATCTTTGTCATGGTCTTTCACTATTTTGTCCTGTGGTTCTGGTTCTCTGCTGTCATGTGATAGACCTTTGTCTTCTTGTGGTTGCTTTGCTAGTGAACTCACAAACTGGAAATGGAGGAGGAGTCCCAAATCTCAATCATTGTCCTCATATGTTAGCTACCGAACCTCTGCAATAATAGTACAATGTCATAAAGATGAAAAGAGATTTCATTATTTCCTAAAATAGTCAGTTTATCGGAGCAAAGGGCATGGAAATTTTTTATAGTCAGGTTTGCCTTTGGGCTGTAGATCAACTTTGTCCTACCAGTTCTCATGTGCTGATATTAGTGATTTTTTGGAATGAGGCAAGATCAAAGACTATTGCACCAGTGATAACCTAACATTCAGGATCCAAGAGGCAGGCTTGGTTTTTCAAGTATACAAGATGGATAAGTAGGATATGTAAGCTAAAAGGATACAAGTAGCTTCCAAATGTATATCTTTTTTTTTTTTTGCTTCAGCACTTACAGGAATTCTCAGGTTGGAGACCTGAAAAGTATGGAAAAACAACTTTTCATGTAAAAAAAGTCACCACTTCATATATCTGTTTGTGAAGGTTTAATGAAAACATTGCTACCATGGTTAGAACCCATTTTGTGGCATGCTACTTTAAAGCAAAGTTTACCAAAATGCTGGTTGACCCAGGGTGAATCTTAATGCTGAAAAAGTTAAAATTTTTGCTTATATGTGAGGAGAACTTCATCTCACAGCAGACTATACTGGTAAATGAATAGATAGAAAGAAATAACACTTGCCCAGGCAGAGTGTGCTGAAGTACTCCCATCTCTCCTTGAAATCATATGAATTTTCATTAATATTTTGAATATAGCACTTAACTATTTACTCAATTAGTTTTGTAAATCATGTATGCATAGTAGGTTTTCCATGACTGTTGGCTTTGAAGTAGCACATTAGGTGTTTGGGTGAGTCAGTCTAAATGGTAGCAGGTTGCATGTAATGCACAATATTATTGATTTTTCACATGGCAAATAACATGTTCAAAGAGAAGCAGTGACTGTACTAAATCAGGTTGATCTCTTTTCTAGAAAATTCAACATATTGAGGAAATTTTGTGACATTGACTGGGTTGCATTCATTCCTACAGCTCTTCTTGCAAGCATAACACACCATTGGACTGATTCTCTCCCTAGCTTTTCTAATGCTGTTTGTCAAAAGCTCCATCTCAGAATTTTCATCCTTAATCTCATGAGATTAAGTTCCTTTCTGTTTTATTGGCAATATGACGAACAGGGAGATGCTGAATCTGAGAAAAGTATTGGCATTCAGAAACTATTCCCTGATGTATACAATTGCCTTCATTGTGATTCTCTGACTCAACTCAGGAAGGATATAATGTGTTTGTTTTTTTCCATGCATCACTGGTCATCATCAAAAGTCATATCTGTATAATTTGCACATATCTAATAATATATCTGATTTCAGACTTGAATGAGTGATGAGTGAAGAGGTGGGAAAAACTATTTTTCTGAGATTTCTGAATTCTGGTGATAAGATACAAGTTTTGCTCACTGCTTCCGATGTTTATGAGAATTTCACTCTGCATGTCCATTAACATTTGATAGGACATACAGGATGAGCGTGGAAGCTTGACTTACTTGCAGTATCTATTCTTTGTTTCATTATTCTCTTCAGGTAACTGCTGATGAACTTTTATCAGGTGCTTTTCAATCATGTACAAGACCACCTGAAATTACTAAATAGTAACCACAGACAGCAAGTATGTTGGAACTTCATGCCCACCACATATAGACAGGGAATGAACTTTGTACCTATTTATCTCCTCTTACTAAAGCCATTTTTGCCAACATTTTATCCTGGTTTGGCCAATGTGTTCCTAACGAACTTCTAAAATCATATTGCCAAAACTAGGTTATGAGTAACTAAAGAAGCTCACAATGGTGTAAAGGGGCTGCCATGATTTGTATGCTTTCACAATGGGAAGGCATTTCCTTGTCACAACTCCTAGCATGACTTTCCATTCATATTCAATTTCTGTCTTCCTTTGACACACATACATGTAACCTTATTTTGACCAAGCAAATTTGGATAACATTTAAGTATGTTGGTAGTATATCAGCTTATGCAGTACAAATTTTTGACAAAATTTATCCAGTAGGAGCAAAGAGTTAAAGTCAGGGGTTTTTCTTTTTGTCATTCCCCATATAATGAGTAATGCAGGAAAAGAGGTGATCTGTTTGATTTCAGACAATGGAGTATCTTCAGAGCTTTGTATGGCGTGGGAAAATCGCAAATCAGACAGTCTATTTTTGTCCTGTCTGCCCATATATGAGTGCCGTGAAACAGCGCATAGTTTTTCACAGTCGCAAGCACACCAAGGAAAAGCCATATCAGTGTTCCATCTGTGGGAAGTCCTTCACACGAAATGAATACCTTCGGAATCACCACATTTCCTTACATGGAGACTTCTGCAAATGAGCAGCATGCCTTTGACATGCTGGTTTTCTGGTTGTGCACCATCCCATTTAGTATAATTTCAATTTCCATCTTCAACTCCTTTTTTTTTTTTTTTACTGATTTCGAAATTTCTGATTATTGAACTAATTCCTCATGCAGTAAATAAGGTCCTTTTCTTCTTATAAATATGTCTGATTCCACAGTCAGATTGTCGTAATTTGGTTACAGAAATATTATATGCCTCCAAATGCTCTTG